TGCTGCTTGCTTGATGCAACGGCACGAAGAGGTGCGAAACGTAGTTGATGAGACGTAAGAAAGAAAAGCGGCAAGGAGGGTAGATCAAACAACTGGCGGGAAAAGAGAGTCGCGAGAGACTCGTTAAAACACAACCTCTTCAGATTCTACCGCCTTTCCAAACCTAAAACTCGATTCTTCGTTTCCATGAATTTACGCTTCTTCTTAATTGTGGAATTAATGACGTGCCGAGTAACTGGGTCAGATATGAAAGAAAATATTTCGTATTGAGCCGTTGGCGAAATTCGAAATATTCCCTTTTGTTCTAAACGGAACAAGGTCTCGAAATTTCAGAGAAAAATAATGTACACTATATTTGAATCTAAACACAATGGCGCAAGAATTTTTTCGATAACTCTACAAAGTTAACCCTTCTCAAGATTTTCAATTTTAGATACGGGTTAGCTAATAAATATCACAAAATTCAGCGCTTGTCATTTATTTTAAAATTATTTCAAAATAAACGAAATATTGTCAATGCGTGTCTACAAATAATTGTTCATTATGAAGACTCGACTTCCGGTTTCTTATCTTCCGAGAGTCAGTTGCAAAATCGAAGTTATCGCTAGGAGGAGGAAAATGTCGCTTTTAATATCCCGTATCTGCTGAATCTTGAACTGTTCGGCGTCCCGCAGGGAGACACAGACAGCTCTGCCTCTTTCCTTAACCCGAATGAACTATGCTTTCCAGACGAACTTTGTTTCCCCGCGATAACATTCCAAAGTTAAAGGGTTCTCTGTCTCTTCGCCGTGATAAAGATCGCCCTTTTCACCCCTCTTTCACTCCGTTATCTTAGCCGGCGATTCACGAGCCCGATTGAAGAATATAAGCGCGAGTATCGCGTGAGCCTTTGATTTCGTTACACTGGCCATCTGATTACACGGTACCTTGTATCAGACTTACAGAAGCTGTGCAATACCTTACCTAGGAATACATTTTCCTTTCCATTCGATTTCACGATTCTGCTACGGAACAATAGCTCCCGTTAAGAGCAGCTAAAAATAAACAAACATTGCCCTCGATCTGTCCAATAAAATGCACATTAATCTTTCCATTTCAAGATTAAAAAGGCACGATAGCTTGTGCGTTTCAATAAATGCTCGCTCAGAAATAACCTAGTTTTTTCATCATTTATGAAGTTGATACCGAACAAGATTACTCCAATACGTCATTATTTACAGATCAATGGTTATTTCTTAAATGAACTGTAGAAAGGTTCTTTTAAAATCGATCTCACAGTCGATTCAATTCCTTCCCTGACTATACATAAATGAAAAGATAAGACGCGGAATGAGGATAGGGAAGGAATTAAAAAATAATAACAATAAGAGAGAGGAACAGGAGATGATATTATCGCTCGGCTGTGTATAACTGTTGGAAACGATTCATAAGGAAGAATAACTGTGCTCGTTCGACCAGGTAAATATCCGGCTTTAACGAACCAACGGATAGTATCGATCCTTGTGGTATCTCGTTCCCGCGTCACTAATCCTAAATAAGGTTTATAAAATAAAGTAGAACGAGTCTGTGGAGATCGATAACCTAGAGGGAATAGTAAAGGTTATTCTCGGCTCACCTGAGATTCTCTGATATGGTCGAAGGTAATACTTTCTTACCATTGCCCGTTCTTCCATTCTTACCATCCGAGATGGTTTGCTGCTTGCCTTATTCCTTAATAGAATCGTATTATAATTTATCCTTAATTCTTTGTTAATTCTTTGTGGCACTGTAGTATATAAAGTGTCCCAGAAAGAGTGATGATCCTGAGGTGATTCTGAACGATCGAAAAAAAACGAGTGCCTTTTAGAAAATCACAAATTACATTAATTTGTAAATCAGCTGTAGTTGAAACAGGGTGTGTAGATCGATTAGCAGGACGTATCTTAGGTAAGATTCATAGAGGTGATCTAACATAAGGAATTAGGTAAGAGGAAGTGAAAGATGCGTTGCTTTTTTTAATTCTTCTTCTTGATGTGAGTAATAAATGGTGTGGGACGAAGGTGAGGCTTTCTTTGGACATTTCTTAGAGCTCTAAAGTTTTATCGAACGGAATAGGGTTGAAAATTAACTTTTCGGTGATCGAATGAACCTTTTCAGTCAAAAAACATTAATTAATTCTAAAAATTTGGAACAAGGAACTTAATTATCACTGTATTTTTAGTGAACACTAATTACAGATTAGAAGTTTCTTTAAAAAGATTTAGCACTATTTCACATAGAATCTTAGAAGATTAAATTCTATTAAATAATTAGAAGATAATTTCCAAGTGTCGTGTGAGGTGCTAAAATTGTCTTTGCTATTGCTGTTCATCTTGAAAGATAATCGACGTTCGAATCCATTCGTGTCTCGTCAAATGGAATCATAGATTTCCTGTCATGTGGCTTATTGCTGGACGAATCACGAATGCCTACTACTGAACGTAGTACGAAAATAAAAAAAATAAAAAAAAAAATAAAAATCAAAACGTTTGCACAATCAGCCAATTGCATCGGGGATATATCGTATATTTTTTTCGATGGAAACGGCAGAAAATACGTATGTATGAATATTCAGGTATACATCGGCTTTCATAAAAATAATATCGGTGTAAAAGGTTCTCACGTCAGTGATTCGGTCTAGCGTGAAATGAATCGAATAGTTGGTAATTTCAACGTGCTGCCTGGAACGGATTGTTTTTTCTTCCGCTCTAGTTGGTGGAAAACGGGAAATTGCTGAAAACACTAGGATATTGTGAAACACGGTATCGAATAAAATATGACCACGTACGAAATGCTGAAATACCGAATTCACCAGACTTCACGAGCAAGAATAACATTATTCCTTTTACCTTCGCTCAATTACTTATAACACTTGCTAAGACCACGTTTCACTGTTAACGAAAATGGCGTGCAACTAAAATGATTAGAGGAATAAGTAAATTTTCTAAAAGAACGAGAAGTTCATGTACTATTAGCTATATTACTTCAATGGTTCTAATATTTGTTACTATTTGTTGCCCATCAAATTTTGCTCTAAGTGTGGCCATTTTTCTGATACCTAAAGCGTACTTTTACATTAAAATAGCGTCAAACTGAACACGCCTGTCCAGACTGAAAAGTCTACTCTAGGCAGATGGTACAAGTTCCGTTTCGAACGAGGCTCGATCTTGCGGGGTACACACGCGTGTACCCGTACAATTTTCACGAAGCAAGCGTGATTTAGTGTGGCAGGCGGCATGGCAAAGCACACTGGCTGCGGTGCAAAGGCAGGGTCCTTCAGGTTTTCTCATCGTAGGATCCCTCCGGCCAGCTTCTCATTACTCCTCGCCGATGATGGGTCTCGCGATGGCTCGCCATGGCGGCGATGCGCTCGTAATCGTACCTCCAGTCGCCAACAAAGGAATCGTTATTAAACTGTTCACGTGGACAGTTCCCGCGAGGAAGGATGGATACGTTCAATCTAATCCACAGTTTGTTCTACCATAGTCACAAAGTGTCATGAAATCATAGCAGACTTCCTATATTTCGAAATCACTCATTCGACATAGCGGAAGCTAATAGTAACACTATTATCTTCTACCCTCCACCTTCTTCGTGTCTTTCGAGAGAGTAATTTCTCCTAGCATCCCTTCGTCTCCGACGAGGAGAGACTTTTTTCTTACTCGCTACTTGTGCTTCACCTTCCGCTGCTGGCGCCAAGATTCCAGATAAGACCCGAAGAGAAATGCGACCGAGTATCTCTTCTCTTCCACGTACTTAGGTGGACGTAAACGATTTCGTGGATAAAAGATGACGCTTCAGGGAATTCCAGTTACACCGACGAAATTCGAAAGCAGACTGTAAGCAGTGGTTATCCACCTTTTATAATTTCAGAGTTCGATAAAGGAAAAGATCGGTCGAATCACACGAGTGGTCCGTCACTTTATTTCCACGATTAATCCTTTCGGAGGAAAAGTTCAAAGACAGGAAGCGAAGTTTGTCGAAGCGTAGCTGTCTCTGCTGACACTTTGCGCTCCTAATGAGTCGTCTATCTCGAAAACTAGTACGTAAGACCGTTCTCCTTAATGATCGTTTATCTAAGTACTCGGACGTATGTTTCAGCAAATTGACGTGGAAGAAGGATAGGAAAGAATGCAATAATAGAAAAGAAAGACGTGTACGTCTTTCAAACGTCAAAGCAGCAGCAGCAGCAGCAATTATCCTTGGATTCTCGTTAAGATAGATATTTTATGTTAAAACCAGTCGGCAGCGCTCTCTCATTAAGGACACTTAAAAACACCTAACTATCTTTAGAGACTCGTATTTCAGCCACGATTATCGACTACCTCCAATTCAGAGCAGGGAATTATCGAAGATTCGGAAGCTTGTATTTTTCTTTCTTATTTGTGTCCTTTTTTTTTCTTTTTTTTAAAGACCGCTGCTTAACGAGATCAGGGATGAGAAACGTAGAGTTAAGAGCGATTTTATTATTGGAGAACCCAGTTCGAATTGCTTGTTTGGCTTGGGCAGCTGAGAATTTTACGGTAATTACGGTTCCCTCGAAAATATACTGCGAGAAGAAAAAAAATTCGTTGTTAATAGGATCGAATGGCTACGAATAGCGTTCGGCTGGTCATTGGTGTAATTGGGATTCTTTCTGGGCTCGGCCAAATAGATTTTTATAATTTTTAAATTTCACTTTTAATATTCTTGAGTTTTTTAATTTCAGAATTTTTAAATTTAGGGGAAGGGGCTATATTTGGTGTATTCAAAATATTTGAATTTTATTACGTGTAATTGAGAAACATTACGTGGTCTAATTGGGAAACACGTTCCCTGTCTAATCAATGTATAAATGATTGAACGAAGAAATTTTAGATGGAAGATCAATCACTTATTATGGAATATTACATTATTTACGAACAACGGTGCAGTGTTTAATGAACTCTCATGATGGCCTATCAATTGACCTTTTATGTCGTTTTGCCTCGTAAAGCATCGATTTTCGGATAGAATATGCGAAAGCAACACAGTGTGTTGCTTTGATTGAAATTTCACAGACATCCAATTCATTTACCACTTTGTTTTTTGTTTCTATTGTTAAAATAAAATATTTTAATTGACACGGGAATAATACGCGATGCACCAAGTCCCGAATGACGAGTTAACGCTACCAAAAACCATTAATTGACGTATACGGGAAATGCTTGTTTCTCTACGCTACATGACGTTTTAAATGATTTAATATTTTGAATAATAAAAAGTTTACACTGCGTTTCGATAACAAAAAACTATGTTGCGTGCTGGTGTGTTTTGAAACATTTTTACCAATCGCTTTTCACGATAATTGTTAATAATTTGATGTGTATTGATTGGTGGAGTCTTTTTTATACGATATTTTCTCAATATGCATATCTCTGGAATTTCGACTGATTTCTGAACTATTTTTGTTAACTCGCACTGCTATCAATTAAATACGATTTGGATTTCGAAATTTTGAAACTTTTTGAAATTACAAAACACATATCGCAGGTGTAACATAACACCTTGCGTTATTAAAGACATAAACCAGCGGAAATTTGTTGTTTCTGGTAAGTAATAGATCGCGAGGAGTGTATGAACGATGTAAGAACGTGGTTACGGCGAAGCGAACCAGATTAAAACCGCATCAAAAGCGGAATGGGATATATAATTACATTAGTTCCATACTATCGGTTGAAAATAATAGGTTAGACACGCTCTGGTGTTCACCTATGCGATAATTAGGTTGTATCGGGTTCGTAAGCTGTGTTCTAAGCGGATGCGTAAACGTATTAGGTGCCTTGAAACATGTTACGTTCTAATGGCACCCTATTATCTTTCGTTATAGCTGTAAAGTGTTAGGTACAATGCCTTTTTTTCGAGTCTACTTTTCTTCCACCCATTAATCTCTCTTCTTTTATAACGATGACACAAACTGAACTTGTTAACTCGTGGCTGTCGTTCAGTTACAAAAATTGTAGAAGCTAATGATGAAATATTAATAATTTTATTATCTACTAGAGTAAATGAACCATCTGCAAATAAATTAAAAAAAAAGTTTCATTTTAAGATGAAGGTGACGAATAGGTAAGCATTTTTTAACAGATTAGAGGCTTTATGTTATCACGAAGGGTGAAAAATATCAGAAGGAGAGAAAATTTCTTTTGGAACATTACCTTATTCAAAGGGCCCTTATAGTAGAGAGGTTTACTCGGGAGTGATTCTTCCTTTACAACCAGGATCATTGACTCAAAGGGCAGAAAAGTCAAATTGCCTATAGGACGGGAAATAGGGATCTCTTTTCTTACGACTCTCACTAAGGGTGATGCACCCTTCGTTTCCCTTCGTGGCTTCCCGTCAGGCAAGCGATTTCAAAGAGCAGTCTTCTTTAAATAATTTCATCCAGTGCAACGCGAGATTTCATTGAAAGTCGTAAGTACTTTTCTCTCTTTTTATTCCCTTAAATTGATCATAACTTTTTATTCCGAAACTTAACAGTTTTGGCAATTTTAAAACCTTCAAATTTGAACTTTTCAATTTTATTTAACATCTTGAAAATTATTTTTACAAAACTTACTTCTCCTACTCTATTCAAATATGTACTTGACATAAAAGTAACAAGCAATTGTCGTGTTTTCATTTGCATACCGGAAGTATGTACAGGAAGCTTTGAACGGTTAAGAAATATGTATCCACGTTTCAAGAGGAATAAGATTGTTCACTTGGTCTGTGGAATTTTGCGAGAAACTTTCTTTTACCCAACTTCTGCCGCTTTCTAGTATCTTATATTTCCGTCGATCTTATAAGCTAACTTCTGAAACTGTGCTCAAAACGCGATTCCCGTTGCCGTTGTGTTTTTCGACGGTGTAATCAAAAGTACGCAACTTGTAAACTAGGTAACCACGCCCGCTATACTTTCAGCATTAACTTTGTCGTTACTGTTCGGCCAGGAATGATAATTCTCGTTTAAATACTGGATTCATTTTTCTCCTTTGCAATTGTAATTCCAAATGATATTATTTTTATTTTTACATCTTGAATTTTTCTTGAACGTCATCCGCCAACGCAGAAAGATAAGCGGACTCGTTTGAGACTAGTTTCCTTGAAACGGCTTGAAATTGGTATTCTCACCGACATTTGAACGTCGAGATTCGACGTTAGATTTTGGACACAGGATATTAGCGAAGCGGTAGACGCGGCGGAATTTCAGCTTGGAAACAATCTCCTCCGGCTTGTATTATCTGTTCTCTCTGTTGCACGAATTCTCCCTTGCAATCTTGTTGGCTCGAGATAAGACTAATTACCATTGTATCCAATGGAGGATAGCTCGTGTATATCCATCGTCCTTGGAAATCTTAACCCTTAATAATATCGCCGCCAGTCGACAAGCTATGCACAACAAATCGGTTAATCGCATTTAACCAACAACGTCGTGGAATTTCCTGTTCGCCAAGTGTAATTGCAACTATTTTGATAACTTCGTGTGCTTGTAGTTGCTTTAGAAAATACAACGTTATTCTAGGATATCGGACTTAAAAATTAATATTTAGGTATATTTGTATATTACAATATTTATATTTATTATCATAAACTTAAGAACATCTTCATACGCCTCGTTAGTGTTATTTTTTGTAAGTTTCGACCTCCTTTCGGAAGAGTTCGTGAATCAAAAGTTACGCCCAATCGCGCATACGCACTCGCTCATTGGTCAAAATTTGCAAACCTAACTTCACAATTCCCAAGAGTTCCGTTTTCTTGATAAAATATAAATTTTTTGAAATATCTAAAGTACACAAATCTTCGTAATTGTATGTTGGTTTTCTTTAGAGAAGAATGATTGTCTGCTTAGTAATGCAGGGGGAACTTAGCGAGGAGGTTATGAAAATTTATGATTTTTAAATGCCGGCGAACGTGCACGGGCATTAGAAGTTTTTTCCTCGTTCCGAAACTTTGCTTTGCTCTCCTTATCTCCATTTATGGTCGAGTGCCGTTCCAGAAACTGGGCTAACGCGGGTATCTCGAAGCAGACGCATCGATCTCCCGGGACGCTCATAAAGACGCGAAGCCGGAGGACGCTGCAAGGAAACAGGAGCGGAGAAAAGTAGGATACAATTCAGGAAATTGTAGTGGACACTGTCTACACAGGAAAAGTAGTTCATCCCTCATGGGAGTGACTATCCGTCAGTGTGCCACTGTTCCTTCTAACTTTTAGACACCTGATCAACGCGGAACGAGAAAAATAAACAGTTTGACAATGTTTCGCTTACATTTTTTATGAAGAAAAATTGTGGATCGCGTCCTAACAATAAGTAGGTGATCGGGTGTTCCCCTTCCAATGTGTATTACGCTTCTCACTAGGGTAAAATTAAAAAATTCCAGGTTACCAAAATTCTAGCTGAATCTCAAATGCAATTTCCTTAATTCCAACGTTATTTCAAACTGAAAAATTAAAACCGTATAAATCTTGCCTTTGGCCACAATGGCGCGGTGTTTCAATGTCCCAAAGTCGGTTTAATTTATTTATACACGAAGTCGGTGTAGACGCTTGTCTTCCATCCAGACCGGTTGGTCCGACCGGTGACAAAGAGAAGCAGCGTCGGGAAAGTTGGTAACTTTATGCTCCGCTTGTTTAGATTGGGCAGGAAAGCCGTTCCTCGGTTCTCACCATTGTTGGTAATTTGGCAGCGACTTCGTTACCAAGCAGCCGGTGCCGTCAACGATTTAGCTGTAATCACGGACCTCTGGGCGAGTTTCCTCAACTCCAAATCCCAAGAACGTCCAAGGTGTTCTCGTATTGTGCTCGTATAGGCATTCGGTAAACCTCTTGGTTCGAATCTATGGGGTTGAATATTAGCGCCAGATGGTTACTTTTGCCGAACAATTCACCCTTTTCTGCATTTATTGTGCAAACTAACAGATTCATGGTTCCAGTAGCGGCTAACAATGAGTGAATTTTATTATTCACGCTTATTTATTATTATTATTGAATTTTAGAGTTAATCTATTCCGAAACTTAATTCCATTATTCAAATTTATTTATTCTTCATTAAAATTAAAACTTGACCTAACTTAACTTCCAATTATAATGACCAAGTTTGAATGAGACTAACTTAGGTTGTGCTAGGTTACGTGTTCTGTTTCTCTGTTTCTAGTAACTTATCAAGCACTAGAAACTTCCGGAAGTAATATAGAATTTCACACTGAGTTTGCGTGTACGTGTGTGTATGTCATCGGTAAAAGCAATATTCTAACCTAACCTATATCGCACGTTTACCAACTGGAGCGTGTTACTCGTTAATCAAAGCCCGCACCTCACACATTTCTACTATTTTATCAGATGTTTGTCCCATAGTTTTCAATTGTTCAACTTGATAAATCAGAATTCTCCCAATTTCTCAGCATATTCGTCATTCGTGATTAAATATTTTATAACATCATTATATAGCCCGCTGCCATCTTAATTAAGTATCTTCGACGTGGGTTGAAATTACCCAAGGAGAAAAAGGAATTCAAGCGTAGCCTGAGCGGTTGTTATAAATAATCGAGCGTTCTTAATTTCACGATCACCAGGTGCGTGGAAGCACGTTGTAACGAGTAAAAACTTATGAGCCATGAAAAAAGAGGGAGGAGGGTAGATGTACCGTCGGTACCTTACAAGCTATCTAGCAGCCGTTTAGCCAACTTCCTCCCTACAGTACTGTCCAATAACTTGGTGATAGCATGGCACGTGACGAGTTCCAACGAACGAGTGAACTGTTTATACGCTTCCAATAACCGCAGAACAGTTGCCAAGTGTCACACCAGTCGATTTCCACGCTCCTTTCACTCGGCCAACTTACTTTCCGTACTTGCCAATCTCGTGTAGGGGGATGGTTTCCAATGTAATCCCAATTTCGAAATTCTTCGTCGAATTCCGAAGGGTAGCACAGCTGGCTTCCTTAATAAGGAGGAACTGAATAGGCTAACGAGGCTAAAAAAGGCTCCATTGAGTTCTTTATATTCTGCATAGTTCAGTTATCTATATATTACTGCAAAGTATTGTCAAATGTCTAAATCTATTTTTATCAAGAAATTAAAATAACTTTTGTTCACTAAATTTATTTCCCCTATTTGCATCTTTAGGAAGTCACCTTTATACCATAAATCTCTTGTTTTATATATCCCCTTTCATAAAAATCAAGATTTATAAGATTTGATGATTTTTGCAGTTCCAAAAAATTGCTTTCAACATTTGTTTGTACCTCTGCCACGGAATAGATATTTTTTCTTATTTTTATGAACAGAATAAACCCTCATGGTTCTCCGCGAGACACACTATGACGTTGCACAGCAAAAGTTACCGGCTTAGCGTCACCACTTGACAAATTACGTTCTTCCTTCTCTTTCAGCATGACGCTGAAGCCATATTCAAAAGCAACGACGTTCTTTCGCCCTTGTATTTCGACCAGCTGAAACAACGAACCAACGTCGCTTGTCATTGTTCGACTCGACGTTGGTTAGACCGTCGTAATTAATAAGAATAAAAGTAGACGAGGCAAGGTGGATCGAATGATTTTGATTAATCGTCCCGTATAGCATTGATGAATTATCTCAGCTTGAAATCTCAAAGCTTTATTTTGATCTCGATTAATGCACAAATCCTTCCGATTCTTTCGTTGTATAAATTCCGCGACTGGGTTAACGTAGATAAATTGAACGAGTGATAACAGAACGTCGAGTCTTTAAAAGCAAATAGACACTTTGTGTTATTTACTACTTCATCCATAAAACTTTGTATTTTTGTTCTCAAAAATGAAAAGAATTCTTCATGTATGTTATGTAGTTTTTCGAAACAAAAGAAAATTATCTTTGTTTCAACGTGGAACCGAATGATACCTCTCCTTTGCAAGACAATTTTTCTCACGATGACAACCCCATAAGGTTGTCACCTTGCATGCATTTCAGTTTCCAGTCTCACAGCCAGTGCATATTGGACCGAGACAAAATTCGTAGAACGCATGTAAGATTAATCGCGACGTACGAAACAGTCTGCTGCTCGCGAATGCAAACACGTGTTGCCCATTCCGAGTCTCTACTTGGGTGGTTTTGGGACCATTGAAATGCTCGATTAACATCAAAATCACGATCCTTGCTCGTGATTGAGTTTTTAATGTCTCCTTGTATATATTTTAATCTGGGGAGACTTTTAAGTGAAACTTGGACTTAAAAAATGAAATTCGATATAATAGTACAATTTTATTACTAGAATTTCTTTCTGGTGTAAACCAAGAAGTTTGAGAAGTTTGCAGCTTGAAAATATTATGTCTAGAATTTTCTAATCTTTGAATTTAGAATTCCAGTTTCACTTATGAAGTAGAATAAAATGAACATTGCCCGACAATCTTCATCAATATAAATCATTTGTCCAAATGCATAGTTACGTAGACTAAGGCTGACGTGCACGAATAATGAAAATAAATTGTGAATTTCACATTAAGCGTCAGGTTTAATGTTAACTGTACAGCGAACAGGAGATTCAATCAGTACGGGCAATATTTTCACCTCCTCTTCTATGGTATCTGGTTGTACATGCAATGCCTTTAACAGTACAATATGCTCATGTTAGTGGTGTTTTAGATCGTACGGAAGAGGAACATAAATTTTTCCTTCTGGTTCATTCATCATGAATATGTGCGAAAGGTAATGCGAACGTTAAGGAAAATTCCAAGTCGAGTGAACTCGCGAAGCTGAAGAATGTACAACTCCATTTGTAGTCGTTATTAAAATGGGCTATTACACTAATCTTACGATTCATTTAATATACCATTCGCGTACCTAGCTAGGGACCAATGTGGCCTCTTAAATATATGGATAACCCCCTTATCGTTTTAAAATTTGCAAACTCTAAGATTGTATAATCTTAAAATTCCAGAATTTTTTGATTCTCCGGAATTCTGGAATTCCAAAATTCTTGAAATTTTTAAATTCCAAATTTTCAAAATTCTGAAACTCCGAAACTAAAAAATTCCGGAATTCTACAGACCTGCCTGTTTCTACTGAAAAGAATAATTGGCAACGGTAGTAAATTCTTCCGCATTCTAGGGAATGTAGTTCCGTTTCTATTCCACTTGTGGCAGGCATACACATACCGTAGGTTACCTTGGATGACCGGATGCATTATCACCCTGTTCGGACAACGTGTAAGTGTAATTAACACGCCGCCGCTCATAACGAGGGCGATGTTACGCAGTCACACTAACGAGAGCAAATTAGCTCGTTTGTGCCAGTTTAGCTTCGTCTCCTTGCTCGGACGTGCCGCCATCTTTGTGCTGTTCCCCTCTGCTACCGCTATTTGCGGTCAAGAATGCAAATTTGGTCGTTTCCTCCTCTCCTCTCTACACTACAGTGAACACGAATTTCTGTCGTGGTCTTCGTTGACGAATTCACTGGACCAGAGGTGGTTTATGTGGCGTCGTAGATTTCAAAATTCATGGTCAACATTCTACCACCGACCCTTTGACGATCCCATTTAGAGCAAAACACTGACATTATCTTTTTCTTATATTAATTATGCACGTTTCTTTATTTTTCTTTTTAGAAGGATAAATTCTGAAATATGCCATATTTTTGCCACTGACTGTAGCGTCAATAAGATTTGAGTATACATGATTTTTGTATGTATCAGATATATGGCTCTTCTTTTTTATTTGGTCGACGGAGGAAGCTGTTCGAGTTGGTCGTAAAATAGACTCGTTCCGATAACAGACGTTTCAACGGTATCGGAGCAGACATACCCGGAATACCCCTGGAGATTTAC